GTCTCGAACTCCTGACCTCACATGATCCTCCTGTCCCGGCCTCCCAAAGTGCTGGGATTACAGGCGTGAGCCACCACACCAAGCCTTCTAAAAATTTGGAAAATAGCCAGGCGTGGTGGTGTATGCCTGTGGTCCCAACTACTTTGGAGGCCAAGGTGGGAAGATCACTTGAGCCCAGGAGATAGAGGCTGCCGTGAGTCACGATGGTGCCACTGCACTCCAGCCTGAGCGACAGAGCAAGACCTTATCTCAAAAAAAGAAAAAAAAGACTTGTTTCCCCATCTACCTCTACTCTTTCTTCCTTTTGTCTCCTTCAATAGCACATGAAGAGACTTAAAAGAGACTTTTAGTGATTCTGAGATCCCCTGAGCCCAGCCAAAGCACCACAGACCTCCTTTTTGGGGTCTTCTGTCTTCCTCATGGAGCCCCAAGAGTCGAGGGTGGGGTCTAATCCTCTGCTCTCTTTTGCACTAAACTCCCTGATCTCTTTGGCTTTTGAAGGTCCAAGAGTTACTTTCTTCTCTTTTTTTTTGAGAGGGAGTCTTGCTCTTGTTGCCCAGGCTGGAGTGCAATAGCGCGATCTTGGCTCACCACAACCTCCGCCTCCTGGGTTCAAGCGATTCTCCTACCTCAGCCCACCGAGTAGTTAGGATTACAGGCATGCGCCACCATGCCTGGCTAATTTTGTATTTTTAGTAGAGACAGGGTTTCTCCATGTTGGTCAGGCTGGTCTCAAACTCCCGACCTCAGGTGATCCACCTGCCTCGGCCTCCCAAAGTGCTGGGATTACAGACCGCACCTTGCCGGGCCCACAAGGGTTACTTTCTAAAGAAAGAAAACACTTGACTTTTTGTCATGGGATAACTAAGTAGTTACTGGCAATAGCTAAAATTTTGAAGATAATTGACAAGGTTGGAATTAATCGTTACTACCACTGGGGGCAAATTCTATCCTCCTCATTTCTTCATGCATTTAGATAAGACTCAGATTTCTGACCGAGCCAAGCAGAACTGACAGTAAAGTGTGCCTTGCAGCCCAGGCTGAGTGTGGGAGCTTTTGATAGCCTGTCCCTGGGGCATTTCCCTCTTGGGCTTTGCCACTGGTCTAAGGGCTCAGGGATTCAGCCTAGGAATGGGATCCTTGATTTCCGGGATCCAGGAGCTCCGCCTTCCAGCTGTGCCTGCTTTTTATATAGGTGAGGCTTAGGCCAGTCCTGGAAATGCCACGTGCTTTCTCGGCTTTTTCTGTAAATGGACTCAGTAATCCAGTTAAAAATCAGAAAGTGGGGCCGGGCACGGTGGCTCACGCCTGTAATCTTCAGCACTTTGGGAGAGGGTGGGGTTTCCCCCCACAGAGGCGGGCGGATCACCTGAGGTCTGGAGTTCCAGACCAGCCTGATTAACACAGAGAAACACCCCCTGCTCCCCCTCCACCGCCCCATCTCTACTAAAAATGCAAAATCAGCCAGGCGTGGTGGCGGGCAACTGTAATCTTAGCTACTCAGGAGGCTGAGGCATGAGAATCACTTGAACCCGGGAGATGGAGGTTGTGGTGAGCCGAGATCACGCCATTGCACTGCAGGCTGGGTGACAAGAGCTAAACTCCGTCTCAAAAAAAGAAAAGAAAACCAGAAAGTAGGCCAGCACGCCTATAATCGCAACACTTTGAGGGCTGGAGGTGGGAGGATCTCTTGAGGTCAGGTGTTTGAGATCAGACTGGGCAACAGAGGGAGAACCAATCTCAAAAACAAAAAAAGAACTTACATTCTTTCTTTCTGCCTTGAGATATAAATCGATATCCTGTTTCCTTTAAAATTTGGCGGGGCCTGATGGCTCACGCCTGTCATCCCAGCGCTTTGGGAGGCCGAGGAGGGCGGATCCCTCGAGGTCAGGAATTTGAGGCTAGCCTGGGAAACATGGCGAACCCCATCTCTACTAAAAACATAAAAATTAGCCAGGCATGTGGAGCACGCCTGTAAATCCCAGCTACACAGATGGCTGAGGCACAAGAATCTCTTGAGGCCAGGAGGCAGAGGTTGCAGTGAGCTGAGATCGAGCCATTGCACTCCAGCTTGGGTGACAGAGCAAGACTCTGTCTAAAAAATAAATAAATAGGCTGGGTGCAGTGACTCACGCCTGTAACCCAGCACTTTGGGAGGCTGAGGCAAGAGGATCCCTTAAACCCAGGAGTTCAAGACCAGCCTGGGCAACATAGTGAGACCCCCGTCTCCACAAAAAAATATAAAAATTAGCCAAGTGTGGTGGTGAGTGCCTGTGGTCCCAGCTACTTGGGAGGCTGAGGCGGGAGGATCACTTGAGTCCGGAAGGCAGAGGTTGCAGTGAGTTGTGTTTGTACCATTGTACTCCAACCTGGGTGACACAGTGAGACTGTCTCGAAAATAAACACATAAATATTATAATAGTGTATATATAGAAACCTCATCTCTGGCACTTGGTATTGGCATTGCAGATGAAGTACGGGAGATGACTGATACTCAGTAATGATGCTGGGAGATTTGGTTTTCCATATAAAAATATACACATTTAATATATTTATACACACACACACACCATCTAGGTTTGTGTAAATATACTCTATGATGTTCATACAACATGAAATTGCCTAATAACACATCTCTCAGAACACATCCCTATTGTTAAGTGACCCATGACCATATTGTTGAATGACTCAAAGTATTTGCAGAATTTTACTGGGACAATGTCCATTAAATAATCTCCAGGACCACTGGCCCTGTGCCAAGGACACTGAAACCTTTAGTCTCTAAGCTGCTTTCCTGCTGAGCCATGGGGTTCTCTTTTTGCTCCGTGTTTGTGCAATCCATTCAATTAATATGCATTAGATGCTGTATGTTTCCTGGGTTGCTCTAAGAAGGTAACACACAACTGGGTCCCTCAAATCAAAAGAAAATCATGCTCCTTTAGTGTTTTTTTTTTTTTATTTGAGACAGGGTCTCGCTCTGTCTCCCAGGTTGGAGTGATCTTGGCTCAGTGCAGCCTCTGCCTCCTGTTCAAGCAATTCTCCCACCTCAGCCTCCCAAGCAGCTGCGATTACAGGCATACACCATCATGCCCAGCTAATTTTTGTGATTTTTTTTTTTTTGAGACGGAGTCTTGCTCTGTTGCCCAGGCTGGAGTGCAGTGGCACGATCTCAGCTCACTGCAAGCTCCACCTCCCAGGTTCACGCCATTCTTCTGCCTCAGCCTCCCAAGTAGCTGGGACTACAGGCGCCTGCCACCATGCTTGGCTAATTTTTTGTGTTTTCAGTAGAGATGGGGTTTCACCCTGTTAGCCAGGATGGTCTTGATCTCCTGACCTCGTGATCCGCCCACCTCGGCCTCCCAGAATACTGGGATTACAGGCGTGAGCCACCCCACCCGGCCAATTTTTATGTTTTTAGTAGAGATGGGGTTTTGCCGTGTTGGGCAGGCTGGCCTCAAACTTCTTACCTCAGGTGACCCACCCGCCTCGGCCTCCCAGTGCTGGGATTACAGGCGTGAGTCATCGCACCCAGCCCATTCTCCCTTAGTTCTGGAGACCCAGAGTTAATCTCTGCCTTTGTCATCATATGGCTTTCCTTTCTTGCATATCTGTGTGGTCACCCATCATAAAGGATTAGGGACACAACACACCCTACTCCAGTATAACCTGGACTTAACCAATTACACCTGCAATTATATTACTGTCAACCACAAATAAAATTCTCTGTCCCCCAAGTAACTGAATGGACCCTCCCTCTAGACCAAGGGCATTCTAAAGTAAACCTGAAACACTAGTTCAGCCCAGGATGGGACTGGGTGGCTGGATATGCCTCATTAAACCCTCCTGCCATTGTAATTCAGGCACAGCTGACCAATGTTTAACATCAACACAGACCTTAAGACTGACCAGGGCCAGGCGTGGTGGCTCATACCTGTAATCCCCGCACTTTGGGAGGCCGAGGTGGGCGGATCTCTTGAGGTCAGGAGTTCCAGACCAGCCTGGATAATATGGTGAAACCCTGTCTCTACTAAACATACAAAAAATTAGCCAGGCATGGTGGTGTGCTCCTGTTATCTCAGCTACTCAGGAGGCTGAGGCAGGAGAATCACTTGAACCCGGGAGGCGGAGGTTGCAGTGAACCGAGATCGCGCCACTGCACTCCAGCCTGGGTGACGGACTGAAGTCCTGCTTGGGGCTAGGACTTTATGAACTTGGCCAAGGGAGGCTGGGTGCAGTGACTCACGCCTGTAATCCCAACACTTTGGGAGGCTGAGGCGGGCGGATAACCTAAGGTCAGGAGTTCGAGACCAGCCTGGCCAAAATGGTAAGACCCCCCCCCCCGTCTCTACTAAAAATACAAAAATTAGTAGGGAGTGGTGGTGGGTGCCTGTAATCCCAGCTACTCAGGAGCCTGAGGCAGGAGAATCACTTGAACCTGAGAGGCGGAGGTTGCAGTGGGCTGAGATCGTGTCACTGCTCTCTAGCCTGGGTGACAGTCTCCGTCTCAAAAAAATAAAACAAGGAAACTTGACCAGGGACTTGTCGCAAATCAACCCAAAAGAAACACATGCTGTGCACTGGATGCTATCTGAGGTGCCGGGGTATGCAATCCCCTTCTTTAGGGGACTTAAGTGGCTCCTGTCCTGCTCGGCTTCCTTTTGTCCCCTTCGGGTGAGGGACAGAACGGGCTTTTAGGTGTCTGTCCAACTTCTGCTTTGGAATTTGCAAATGCAGGAAGAAACTCAGTAAATATTTATTGACGAATAGTGCAACTTCTTATTGGCATTGGCAGCTTACCAGCTTCTGCTTGGGCTTTTGTAATGTGAAAGCTGTTGGCTGGGCACAGTGGCTCACACCTGTAATCCCAGAAGTTTGGGAGGCAGAGGTGGGTGGATCACTTGAGGTCAGACCAGCCTGGCCAAAATGGCAAAATCCCATCTCTACTAAAAATACAAAAATTAGCTGGATGTGGTGGCAGGTGCCGATAATCCCACGTGGGAGGCTGAGGTGGGAGGATTGCTTGAACCCAGGAGGCGGAGGTTGCAGTGAACTGAGATGGCGCCCTGCACTCCAGCCTGGGCGTAACAGCCATCGCACTCAGCCCTCCTCCTGCTTTTTTTTTTTTTTTCCTTTGAGACAGAGTCTCACTGTGTCACTTGAGGTGCTCTTCCCTTACCCACTGAATATCCCCAGGAGATCATGTATCAGTTAAACTGCTATTTTGCCTCTTAGTGCACATGCTTGTACCCATTCACCCAACTCCCAAGAGCTTATTGGGAAGCTGCTCATCACCAGCTTTGGGGGTTTTCTTTTTCTTTTTCTTTTTTGAGACAGAGTTTCTCTCTTGGTGCCCAGGCTGGAGTGCCATGGCACGATCTCAGCTCACTGCAACCTCCGCCTCCCAGGTTTAAGCAATTCTCCTGCCTCAGCCTCCCGAGTAGCTGGGGTTACAGGCATGTGTCACCACGCCTGGCTAATTTTTGTATTTTTAGTAGAGACGGTGTTTCACCATGTTGGCCAGGCTGGTCTCGAACTCCTGACCTCAAGTGATCTACCAGTCTCAGCCTCCCAAAGTGCTGGGATTACAGGCATGAGCCACCACGCCCAGCCCTTCCCCCACATTCTTTCATGATAAGGCCCACTAACTCCAAAGCCAAAATTCCTAGTTGCCCAGAAAATCGAGTTCCCCTGTCCTTTAGTGCAGGGATGGCTTCGTCCCGGGATGTGAGTGCAAAATATCTGGGCTCTGTGCTACCAGTGCTGCCAGGAAGGAGAGGGCAAAACTGCATTTCCATTGTAAAGCGATGCCAATGTTCGGCGTGCTGCATACATGTCAGCAGCCAACGCCTCCCACGCGGTCACAAGGCACTGGCTCTAAGCGAATTTGCTTAGCTCCTACCAGCTGCTCCCGGTGTTTAATTCTGAGGTTTGTGCATTTTGTGGTTAATATACTAAGGCACAGAGGTTGAGTCAATTGTCCAAACTCACTCAGCTGTGAAGTAGATAAGCCTGGATCCAAACTGTGTGAGGGACCGTGAGTCCATGCCCCGCACGCCCCACTCACTGCCCCTTGGGTCAGAGGATGAGGGCCAGGCACATGCAGGGCTAGCTAGAGGCCATTCTGTCCAGCCTGTCCAAGGTCAGCCGCAATGCCCACCCACTCTGGCAGGAAGACCGCTTGCGGCCTAAAGACCATGTTGAAGGGGGAGTTGGGCAGGGTGAAGTTGGCCAGGTAGACGGTGTCCCCACCTGCGAGGTAGGCGGCCCAGACCCCGAAGGTGCCCACAGTGATGATGGTGTGGTTGCACTGTGTGAGCAGCGCGAAGTCCTTGGCAGGTGAGCCCTGGAGGCCATTGCCAGCGAACACCACGTCCCCAACGGAGTTGTTGATGCTGTCCCGGCACCAGGCCATGTCATCGCTGGTGACCACAAAGACCGGGAGGCGGCAGCGGGCCCGGAACCAGTCCAGGGCCCGCTGCAGGTAGCCCCGGTCGGCCAGCACCCCCTTCCATACACGCGGCATGACATGGACATAGTCCCCCCGGCGCACATGGACCCCCACGAAGGTCGCCTGCCCTGCCCACTTGGCCTGCAGGCCCCGCAGGAACTTCTGGGCCTCCTCACGCACGTGGTCATGCAGGGTGAATTCCTGGAGGATCTCGTGGCGGAGGTGGTGGTAGAAGGTCCAGGAGCAGGGGTAGCCCGTGAGGCGGACATAGCGCCCAGGGATGTGGCGGTACTTCTCCTCCATCCAGTTGTTCAGGTGGTAGTTCTGCCAGGGGATCCTGCTGGCCGTGGCGCTGTGCAGCACTGGCAGGGTGATTCTGAAGATGGGGGCCAGGGTGCTATGCATCTGGACTGGGATGAAGGCAGGCCGCCCGTTCATCTTGGCCAGGGCATACAGTGTGGCGTACTCACCCATCTGGTTCCCCAGGCGGCCCTTGGAGTTGATAGTGAACAGCCCCTCTCGGGGGAGGTGTCTCGGTGCCAGGACCACATGGGCTGAGTATGCCCAGGGCGCGGGCACCAGAGCCAGGCGCTGGTGGCAGTGAAAGATGGTGGACACTACAAAAATGGCAAAGAGGAAGTAGAAGGTGGAGAAGGAAGGGCAGGTGGTCCAGAATCCCTTGATGGCTGCGGGAAGGAGAGAGGACATGGTCAGGAGGGAGGGCTGGGGGGACAGCAGTCTCTTCACCCACCCCCTGCCAAAGTCATTCATTCACTCAATCCATCCAGGCCTCTGTCCTGAGTGCCACAGGGCATGGGAGGCCTCAGAGCACAGACCCTGGAGTCTTCCCACCCGAGACTGGGTTCCAGCTGGAATTCCCAGGCTTACCAGCACCTTACAACTTCAGCCAAGTTACTGCACCTCGCTAAGCACAGTGGCTTGTTCCTGTAATCCTGGCACTTCGGGAGGCTGAGATGGGAGGATCACTTGAGCCCGAGTTCAAGACCAACTTGGGCAAAAAAGGTAAGAACCTATCTTTATCAAAAAAAAAAAAAAAAAAAAGTGTTTTAAATTAATCAAGCGTGATGGCATGCACCTGTGGTCCCAGCTACTTGGGAGGCTGAGGTGGGAGGATTGCTTGAGCCCAGGAGGTTGAGGCTGCAGTCAACTGTGATTGTGCCCCTGCACTCCAGCCTAGGCAACAGAGCAAGACCCTGTCTCAAAAACAAGAAGTTACTGAGTCTCTCTGAGTCTGTTTCCTCACCTGTTAAATGCGTATGAGTATACGGAACCATTGGAAAGTGTCAATATTCAACCTGATTTTACCTACACTTACGGCCATTTCTTTTACTTTTACTTTTTTTTTCTGGCGATGGAGTCTTGCTCTGTCACCCAGGCTGAAGTGCAGTGGCGTGAACTCGGCTCACTGCAACCTCCACCTCCCGGGTTCAAGCGATTCTCCTGCCTCAGCCTCCTGAGTAGCTGGGATTATATTTATGCACCGCCACACCTGGCTAATTTTTGTATTTTTAGTAGTGACAGGGTTTCACCATGGTGGCCAGGCTGGTCTTGAACTCTTGACCTTGTGATCCATCCGCCTCGGCCTCCCAAAGTGGTGGGATTATAGGCGTGAGCCATCGTGCCTGGACTACTCATGGCCATTTCTATGGTTCTACCTCACAGAACTACCTCACGGGGTTGCATGAAGATTAAATGTGATGATTTTGTAAAGCAGTGCCTCGCACGCAGGAAATGCCCTGTACATGTTGGAAAATCAATGCCTGCAGTGGCCAGGCAGGTGCAGTGGCTCACACCTGTAATCCCAGCACTTTGGGAGGCCAAGGCAGACGGATCACCTGAGGTTAGGAGTTCGAGACCAGCCTGGCCAACATGGCGAAACCCCATCTCTACTAAAAATACAAAAATTAGCCGGGCGTGGTGGTGGGTGCCTGTAATCCCAGCTACTCAGGAGGCTGAGGCAGGAGAATCACTTGAACCCAGGAGGTGGAGATTGTAGTGAGCCGAGATTGTGCCACTGCACTCCAGCCTGGGTGACACAGCGAGACTGTTTAAAAAAAATAACATAAATAAAATCAATACTTGCAGAGTATCTATTACATGCCAGGAACGGTGCTCGGGGCCAGGAAGCCAGCAGAGGACAAAACAGGTTAGAATCTTTGGTGCCCATGCAGAGGGAAAGAGCACAGGCGGGCCCAAGTTAATGGACAAGCTCTGCCTTCTGTAGGCTGGTGACCTGGAGGTGTTATTTAACTCCTCCTCTCCTCCTCCATGAAATGGGGCTGCCACACTCCTGCACTGGTAAGTGCTAAGCGTCTCCTGATACTATTAGTGGGTGTGGTAGGTTCAAGCCGACCACAGACTCCTGGACTCCCTTTCCCTTGAATCTGGGCAAGCTCATGACTGCCTTGACCAGTTTAATATGGTGCAAGTGAAATTGTGTCCATTTCTGGCCCAGGACTTAAGGTACTAACAGCTTTTACTTCTTGCCTTGAGAATGTTCTCTCTGCGCTATCATGTCTGGCTGGAGAGTTCAGCTTTTGTTTTTTGAGACAGGTTCTCACTCTGTCACCTAGGATGGAGTGCCAGTGGTCTGATCACAGCTGGGCTCAAGGGATCCTTCCACCTCAGCCTCCCCAGTAGCTGGGACCACAGGCATGTGCCACCATGCCCAGCTCTCATTTTTTGTAGAGATGGGGTCTCACTATGTTTCCCAGGCTGGTCTTGAACTCCTGGGCTCAAGCAATCCTCCTGCCTTGGCCTCCCAAAGTGCTGGGATTATAGACATGGGCCAGTTTTAGCTTTTGTATGTAGGGCTATGATTATTTATTTATTTATTTTACTTTATTTTATTTTTTGTGATGGAGTTTTTGCTCTGTTGCCCCGGCTGGAGTGCAATGGCACAATCTCGGCTCATTGCAACCTCTGCCTCCTGGGTTCAAGTGATTCTCCTGCATCAGCCTCCCAAGTAGCTGGGACTACAGGCACCCACCACCATGCCCAGCTAATTTTTGTACTTTTAGTAGAGACAAAGTTTCACCGTGTTGGCCAGGCTGGTCTTGAACACTTGACCTCAGGTGATCCACCCACCTCAGCCTCCCAAAGTGCTGAGATTACAGGCGTGAGCCACCACACTCGGCCAGCTCTTTTTTGGGCAACCACTTTGAGATATAATTCATATACCATACCATTCACCCACTTAAAGTATAATTCATATACCATACCATTCATCCACTTAAAGTGTGCAATTTAATGGCTTTTAATATATTTACAGAGCTATGCAACCAGCACAATTTTTGAATATTTGCATAATCCCCCACAAAAAAAAACCCAACACCCTTTAGCCATCTCCCCACAATCTTCCCTGCCCCTTGTCCCCCCACCAACTAATCTCCTGTCTCTATGAATTTGCCCATTCTCTCTCTCTCTTTTTTTTTTTTTTTTTTTTTTTTTTTTTTTTTTTTTTTTTTTGAGACGGAGTCTCGCTGTGTCTCCCAGGCTGGAGTGCAGTGGCATGATCTCGGCTCACTGCAAGCTCCGCCTCCCGGGTTCACGCCATTCTCCCGCCTCAGCCTCCCAAGTAGCTGAGACTACAGGTGCCCGCCACCACGCCCGGCTAGTTTTTTGTATTTTTAGTAGAGACGGGGTTTCACCATGTTAGCCAGGATAGTCTCGATCTCCTGACCTCGTGATCCACCCGCCTCGGCCTCCCAAAGTGCTGGGATTACAGGCTTGAGCCACCGCGCCCGGCCCCATTCTCTATTTTTCATGTGACTGTAATCACACACTCCATGGCCTTCTGAGTCTGGCTTCCTCACTTGGCACCGTGTTTTCAAGGTCCATCCACGCTGTAGCACGTGTCACAGCCTCACATCTTTTATTTTTCTTTTCTTTTCTTTTTCTTTTTTTTTTTTTTTTTGAGACAGTGTCTCACTCTGTTGCTCAGGCTGGAGTGCAGTGGCGTGATCTCGGCTCACTACAACTTCCACCTCCTGCATTCAAGTGATTCTCCTGTGTCGGCCTCCCGAGTAGCTGGGACTACAGGTACAGCCACCACGCCCAGAAAACTGCCTCACTCCTTTCAAAGCTGCAAGTCCCATTGTTGGGGTAGACCACAATTTATTCACTCATCAGGTGACAGGCACTGGATTGTTTCCAGTTTTCGGCTGTTGTGAATAGTGCCGCCATGAACCTGCGTGCTGGGTCACAGGGTGAACTCTACATTGAATCGTTTCGGGAGCTGCCAGGTGGCTGCCCCAGTTTCTGTTTCCACCAGCAGCACGGGAAGGCCCCATTTCCCGGCCTCGCTCGCCATCGTGTTTGGTTGTGGTGGGTGTGCAAGGCCATCTCACCATGGGGCCCGCGGTCCCAGTCCTCGCAATGGGATGGATAGTCCCTTCTCCGGGGGCTCCTCTTCCCGAGTCTCCTCCAGCTCTCCCCAGGGCTCCCAGAAGGTCCTCTGCTCCCAGCCTCTACCATGTCCTGATCGGCTTTCTCTTTTCCCCTTGTCCACACCTCTGACCAATGTCCTATGGTTTCCCTGTGGCCACTCCAATGGCTACAACTCAGCAGTCATCCCCTCACCCCCTCCCACCCCATTTCTGCGGAAGCCCTGGTTGGCATGGGCTCACCCCCAAAACTTCTGGCTTCTGCCTCACCCCTCCCGGCTCCCCATCTTTCCCTCCACCTGTCCCCTTAAACATCGGGGTCCTGCAGGCCTCCTCAGCTCTCACCCTCCTCAGCTCTCATCCTCCTCTATTAGTTCCTCTGACCCTTTTGAGAAGCCTGAACACTCTGGGCCCTCCTTGAAAGTCTTGTGTGGGTCCCCAACAAGGCCAGCTGGCCTAAGGCCTAAGATAAATGCCTCTGGCGCTGCTTTAGTTTCCAAAAAGTGAATTAAATCTGCCCGAGCCCTTTTTCACTGAGCTGGTAAAAACTGTGTCCCAAACATGATCTTGCCACCCATTCAACTCAGGGTCCTGCCCCATGGAGAAGGAGCTGAGCTCTGAACCCAGCTGGAGCCCCAGGGCAGGTCCCAAGGCTAGGGCTGGGGTCAGGGGGGTGCAGGGCAGGGACGGAGCCTGGGCTACTGGCCAAGGGAAACCAGCTCAAGACAAGGGTGTCCCCCCGTGGGGTCCATCTTCATGTTGTGTGATTCGTGCAGTTGCGTTGAGACAGGCCCTACACTTGCTTTAATGATCTGGCGTCGCCATCTTAAAGTCCTTCATAAATTCTTTTTTTTTTTTTTTTTTTGAGACGGAGTCTTGCTCTGTCGCCCAAGCTAGAGTGCAGTGGCGCGATCCTGGCTCACTGCAAGCTCCGCCTCCTGGGTTCACGCCATTCTCCTGCCCCAGCCTCCCGAGTAGCTGGGACTACAGGCGCCCGCCGCTGCGCCCGGCTCATTTTTTGTATTTTTAGTAGAGACGGGGTTTCACCGTGGTCTCGGTCTCCTGACCTTGTGATCCGCCCGCCTCGGCCTCCCAAAGTGCTGGGATTACAGGCGTGAGCCACCGCGCCCGGCTGTCCTTCATAAATTCTAAACAAGGGATCCTGTGTCTGCATTTTGCCTCGGGCCCTGCAGATCAAGCAGCGGGTACCGCGGCTGCCCTGGCTTTTCCTGGAGTCTCAGGTGCTCCCTCTTGTGGCTGTTCTCAGCCTAGACAACCAGAAAGCCACAGAAAAGCACCAGCCAAGGCCGAGGCTGCCAGGGTGCTGGCAGGCCAGGCCCATCTCGGGGCTCGCTGTCCTGGCCCACGATTCCTTGTCAGCCATTTTCCTCAGGGGGAGGGGCAAACGCCAACCTGTCCTGAACTCATCTGGGACAACCCTGGCTTGGAGGAGGGTCATGTGGCTATTTACAGACTTTACTTCTCTTACTGTGAACACCCATATGCTTTGCTGCCTAAAACATGTTTGACAATGTGATGCAGCCCAGACCTGCCATGAGTGCCACGTCACATACAGACTACGCGTCCGACAATGGGGCCAGAATGCAGAAGGTTCTGGAACATGACTGTCCCAGAGAGCTCAGATAAGAACCTGTGGGCATGTCAGCTCATTTAGTCCACACGACTCCCTCTGCCCACCATGAGGAAGGTCCATTCTTTCATCATCATTTAACAGATGAGGAAACTAAGGCACAGAGAGGTTAAGGAGCTTGTTCTCAGTCACACAGCTAGGACAGAGGTGGATTTGAACCCAGGCAGTGTGGCTGGGGTTACCATCCTGGCCTTTTTGAACACGTCCAGGGAGGGCAGGCCCTACCCAGCCACACTCTGCCCAGTAACTCCTGCGGTGTGACCTGCCCCGCCTTGTGGGGCCTCTGTTATGTCTGGGTCACCAAGGCAGGGGTTGGAAGTCTGTGCGAGCCCAGCACTGGGGGTCTCTCTGGGTTGAACCCACCTCAGAGCTGTGCCTTGGGCAGGCCCAGCCTTCTGTGGAAGCTGAGGGTGAAGGTCTCCAGCCCTTAAAGAACTCTCCCCGACAAAATAAACCAGTCTCCGTCCCAGCTTGGGGCACTATTTGCTTGGCTCTGGCAGCTCTGTCTCTTCTTCCCCGCCTGTCCCCAGGCACCCGCAGGGGCACAGATCAACTCAGGCAGCTCAGGCTGCAAGGAACAAAAGCGTCCCTCCAGGAGCCGGAGATTAAGAGACTTCGCCCAGGTGGGGAGGACGACGTAGCAAGACCTGAACCTTCTTCCTCAGTTTTCTGTGGCAGCAAAGCTGGGTTCTGTGCTGGCCGTGGCCTCAGCAGAAACGCCCTCCACGTCACCCCACTTACATCTGCAACCCCCGGGCCCCCGTGGCCACTTTCCCACTTGCTTTAACTCCAAGGCACTTGGCACTTTCCAACAATCTAGAGCAGGGAAGGACCTGCGCTGCTGGGGTCTCCTCCTCCCTCTCCAGACGCTGAGCCTGACGCTGCCTGGGTCTGTGTTCCCAGCGCACACCCCCAGCGAAGTCCCATACAAGGAGAGCTCAGGCAGGGTCAGTGGAGGGACCCACACCTGAATCCCGAAGTTCCACTCTGACTCGCACAGCCTGGACCCCTAGCTCTGACATGCCCTCTCTGATACGGGGGTGTCTCAGCCCCACTCAGTCCTCCTGCAGCTGATGCCCCTCCCAGCTTTCGGAGTGACCCCCTTCTTTCAAATTCGATGTCCCCGTCCTGCTCCTGCCGAATCTGGCCCCCTCCAACGTGGTACCTAAGGGTCCAGAATCAAGGGATGCCTTGGCTGTGCCCTCGCACCCCCTGGGGCAGGCCTGGGGCAGTGGGTCCCAAGCCTGTCAGGATTGGGCCCACACTACGGCACGATAAATGCTGGGGCCACCCAGGGCAGCAGGTGCCGTGCCCCAGCCCCATGAGGCCCTTGCTTTTCTCAGCGGGAAGTGACAGAAAACATTATCTTTTTTTTTGAGACGGAGTCTCGCTCTGTCGCCCGGGCTGGAGTGCAGTGGCCGGATCTCAGCTCACTGCAAGCTCCGCCTCCAGGGTTTACACCATTCTCCTGCCTCAGCCTCCCGGGTAGCTGGGACTACAGGCGCCCACCACCTCGCCCGGCTAACTTTTTTGTATTTTTCAGTAGAGACGGGGTTTCACTGTGTTAGCCAGGATGGTCTTGATCTTCTGACCTTGTGATCTGCCCGTCTCGGCCTCCCAAAGTGCTGGGATTACAGGCTTGAGCCACCGCGCCCGGCCTGAAAACATTCTTTTTCTAGTCAACCCATTGGGAGATGGAATACAGTAGACACCAACATTTGCATGAAAATGTCACGATGAAAGCACTGAGGCCTCACGGGACACCGGCACTGGGGAGGTGCTTTTGAGCACCCCGGGGGTCCCTGCCTTCTCCCTCTGCCATGGGCCCAGGTGTTCTGGCTCCTTTGTCGCCTTCCCGCCATCTTAGAAAGTGACTGAGGTCTTTTGAATTCCGGGGGCTGGTCTGAACCTTCCAAGAGCACAGATTTTTACGGCTTGAAAATGACTGACCTTAAGGCTCAGTGAATCCACAGCTGACTGAAGGTTCCAGAGGGGAGGAGGAGGGGCTGGCTTGGGGTCACACAGCCAGAGGCAGGGGCTGAGCAAAGTTCCCAACAGCGACTGTCTGCCAAAGGTCAGCCCCTGCCCGATTGGCCACCACAAGGCGGGGCTGAGCCAGTGGGCAGGGGTAGAGTGGGATGGAGCGGGAACCCCGACTGGCGGCCTCCCGTCCTACCTGCGGTGAGCCTCCTAGGCCAGGCTGCTCGGGGCTGTCCTGCTGCTGGACCGCCAGGGGCAACGGCGCTCACGTCCCACACCGTTGCGGGTGGCCTGGCTGGCAGGGGTCCCTGTGGGGATAGCGTGGCTGCGGTTGGTGAGGGGATTGGGGCGGGAGAGGGGTGGCGGTGTTAGATTCTGCGGGCTCTGCTCTGAGCCCCCGCCCAGCCCAGAAACCCCACTAGCCTGGGGCCTGAGAACAGCCACGCCACTCCCTCCTGAGAACCCACCGCGCCACAGCTTGGAGGAAGAGCCTGCGGGGAACTGGCTGCGGGACGCTGTCTTCTTGAGTGCAGGTTTGGCCAATGTCGGGGCCTCAGGGCTCGGGTAGGGGGTGCATGCCAAGAGCCAGGGAAAGGAAGCCTGGGTCCCAGATGGACCCCACGCCGCCCAGGCAGGCCTCCTATGGATCTGCTGGGAGCAAAGCTGGACTCTGTTTCTTAAAGGGGGGTATGGGCTCTCTGTGGGCCATGACTAGTTTCTGGATCCCTCAGGAACACTAGGGAACTCACATCCTGGTTCCTCAAGGTGCTAAGGGCCAGAGGGTGCCACCCCCTGAACTATCCAGCAAGAGAGAAAGGGGACATGGGGGGCTGGTCCTTAACAGGATGCCGCTGAGGGCCAGGTGGGCGGCCGTCACCCTAGTGGGTGCAAAATGGCGCCAGGCTCCTTGGGAGGGCAGAGGGTGAGGCCTGTCATCTGGGGCCAGGGGAGGCAGCATCTGCATGTGGCCAACAGCAGTGGGGACATGGGCTGTGAGGCCAGGCTGGGGCAGGTGTGGCCTACCCCTACCCCCAGGGTGCCCTAGAGATGCCCAGCCCAAGGGCATGCCTGGGTGCAGATTCAGAGCCAAGGGCCTGGAAAGGCTCTGAGGCCCCCAGTCCGCAGTGAGCTCCTCACGAGAGGCTGCTGGCCCTGGAAGGGGAAAGTGGGGGCATTTCAGAGTCCAGTCCTTCCCAGCTCCTGCCATTCCTGGGGTCTGGGCTTCTGCCCCCACGGGCTCCCTGGCATCTGGCACCCCACCCTGTCCCAGCTCCTGCTTTCCTGTCTCTCTCTTCCTCATTACCCCCCACCCCCAACATCTGTTCCCCCATCTGCTCTGGGGAACTCTGGATGGGTGGAGAAGGCAGAGACTCTGGTCTCCAGGCCCTGAGGCCCAGGACAGAGGGCGGGGGCTGAGGTGAGCAGAAAGTCCCAGAACTCTAACTTCCGGTCCCCACACCCTGAGTTCTGAAGGGAACCCAGGTGTCTGCTTCCCCTGACCCCATGGGGATCCCATTGTCCCACTCCCAAGCCCCAGAGCCACCCAGGTTCCAGCTCCCAGCATCCCTTTCCTCAGCTCAGCTCTCTGGGCTTTGCACTGGGGTGGGAAAGGGTTAAGGGTGGGGCACCGGGGGTGGGTGGGTGGGTGGCAGAGAGGCCGGGTTGTTTGGTGATAATCCCCTTCCGTGCCCAGGGTGTGGAAAACAAGGTTAGGGCCCCATGTGGGAAAGGCCATGGCTCTGATCTCCGCAAGCCTGGGCCTCGGTCTCTCACTTCTGATCCCCCGCCAGGCAACCCTAGCCTGTCCCCTTCCCTCCCCTCCCCAGGGCCTGCTGGGCTGGGTGTCTCTGAGCCCACCTGCCTGCCTATCCCAGCCCCCAGGCTGTCCGAGCCTCAGTCTCCCGGCTCCCTGTGGCCTCTGGGTGCCTGGCCTCTGTCTCGGCCTCTCAGCCTCCTGTCTGTTCCTCTGTCTTTGCAGCAACTTCTCTGTGCTGTGCCCCTCCCCGGGGCTGGCTATCCTCTCTCTGCCTCTGTTTCTTTGTGACTGAGTTTTCAACTATCCCTAAGCCCCCTCTCCTGCCCAGCCCTGCTTTCTCCGTGTCCCTCTCTAGGTTTCCATGTCTGTTGGCCTTGGCCAGCCCCTCTGCTCCAGCCGCTCACCACTCCCCAGGGCCCCCTGCCCCTCGACACTGATGGATAACTCTGGGGTGTTAAGCTATGGATTAGTTCAGGCAAAATTCTCGATTTTGTCTGCGTTCTTTCCCCTTTGGGTTATGTAAACAGTAATTCTCCCCAGATGGAACTATTTTCCTCGCTTCCATGCAGCCGGGGACTGGGCCTGGACGGGTTGGGGGTGGAATGCTCCAATTCCACAGGACTCCTCCAGGAGGGGTAGAGGCTGCGGCTGAGGTCCCCAGCCCAGTCACCTCTCTTCCCTCCAGGTGCTGGCTCTGCTGTGACCATGCCCGTGACCTTTGCCCTCCTGCTCCTCCTAGGCCAGGCCACTGCGGACCCATGCTACGATCCACAGGGCCGCCCCCAATTCTGCCTCCCGCCAGTGACACAGCTGGCTGCCGTGGCGGCCTCCTGCCCTCAGGCCTGTGCCCTGTCCCCAGGAAACCACCTTGGGGAAACCTGCAATGGCAGCCTGACCTTGGCCCTGGGTGGCTCCTTCCTCCTGACATCTGTCAGCCTGCGCTTCTGCACCCCAGGACCCCCAGCCCTCATCCTGTCTGCTGCCTGGGCCTCAGGGGGTCCCTGGAGGCTGCTGTGGCACAGACCCGCCTGGCCTGGGGCCTTGGGGGGCCCTGAAAGGGTGACCTTCCACTCCACACCAGATCCTAAGGCCACTGTGGTGGCCAGCCACCTCCGCGTGGAGTTCGGGGGCCAGGCCGGGCTGGCGGCGGCTGGGCTGAGAGGCCGCTGCCAGTGCCATGGCCATGCTGCCCGCTGTGCCGCCCGTGCCCGGCCCCCCCGCTGCCACTGCCGCCACCATACCACTGGCCCGGGGTGCGAGAGCTGCCGCCCGTCCCATCGAGACTGGCCCTGGCGGCCTGCTACGCCCCAGCACCCCCACCCTTGCCTACGTGAGTCCTGCGCCCTGTACTCTCCCTACCTTTGCCTGCCTGCCACTGGGTCCTTTGTCCCTACGGAAGCAGGATGTTCCCTTCCCTCCCTGGAACTGGGTGCTCCTTGCCTCTCACCCCAGTCTCAGACTCAGTCCTCTCTGTACCTCCTCCCTGCAGCCAGTCCTGTATCTCAGCCACACATGGGCCTGTCTGCTCATGAGGGGCTCAGCCTCTCCCCAACACTCATCAGCCTGTGATAATGGTGATGATGATGATGATGGTAGTGATGCTGGTAATGGTGATGATGATGGTGATGACAATGGTGGTGATAATGGTGCTGGTGGCGGTGATGGTGGTGGTGATGATAGTGGTGGTGGTGATGATGGTGATGATGATGGTGGTGATGATGGTGGTGATGATGATGGTGGTGGTGGTGGTGATGGTGGTGATGATGGTGATGATGATGGTGATGGTGGTGATGGTGGTGGTGATGATGATGATGGTGGTGGTGATGTGATGGTGATGGTGGTGATGGTGGTGGTGATGATGATGATGGTGGTGGTGGTGGTGATGATGATGATGGTGATGGTGGTGATGATGTGATGGTGATGATGGTGATGATGATGGTGATGGTGGTGGTGATGGTGATGATGATGGTGGTGATGGTGATGATGGCGATAGTGGTGATTATGGTGGTGGTGATGATGATGATATAATAACTATTTCCGAGCACCCATCCCAGGGCCTGGCTGGATGCAGGTACTTGGGTAATATTTATTGAACAGTTGTAGGGGAACAGGGCAGCTGGATGGTACCTGACTCCTCAAACCAACCACAAGGGGAAAGTATTCGGTCATTTATCAATCACCTACTGTGTGCCAGGCAGGGACTGTCATCAGGCCCATTTTACAGATGAGGAGACTCAGGGCTAGAGTTCAGAAGTCCCCTGCACAAAGACACACAGTGTCTGAGTGTGGCAGGGCCAGGATCTGAGCTCAGGAAGCCACGTTCTGGGGTCTCAGCCCATCCCTGCCAAGCTCCTGCCGGATACTGTCACACCAGGTGCTCTAGGGTGGCAGACAAGAGGTAACAGACAGGAGCACGGCCTTGGTGGCCTGGCAGCCAGACTATTTGAGCTTGAATCCCGGCTCCTCTGCTTACCCGCTGTGAGAGATTGAGCAAGTGACCTAACCTTTCAGTGCCTCAGTTTCCTCCACCATAGAGTGGGGATAGTAACAGCACATCCTTTACAGGCTGTAGTGAAAATTAAATGCATTAATATACATAAAGCCTTTAAATAAAGCCCAATGTGGCACCTGGCAGAAAGAAACGGCTTCCTGAGCGCCGGCCAAAGTCACCACTCCCCAGCTGAGAAGGTAAGGCTCAAAAGAGAGTTCACTTGCCCTAAGTCTCATTGCCAGCAAGGGATTGAACCCAGGGAGCCCTGAGTTCCTAGATGCTGCAACAATCCACTGCTCTATCCAGCTGGACAGGTGCCCCCCAGGAATGTCCCGTGAGATGTCCTCTTTCCCAAAGGTGCTTCCAGACCGGGCCTTCCCTACCTCTCTCCAGCAGCCCCTCCTCAGAGACAGCCAGTGTCAGTTCCTTCTGGTCCTGACCTGCTCCCTCCTCCAGCCTGAGACACTTGGTAGAGGGTCTGAGGTCCTGGGAGGTAACTCTACCAACAGACACAGACACACACACGTGTGCAAGTGTACCCTGGCCTTCCCTCTCCATCTCCCATGCTCTTTGCCTCCCGGCCCTCTATTTCTTTGTTTTTTCTTTTGAGACGGAGTCTTGCTGTCACCCAGGCTGGAGTGCAGTGGTGCCATCTTGGCTCACTGTAACCTCCGCCTCTGGGGTTCAAGCCATTCTCCTGTCTCAGCCTCCTGAGTAGCTGGGATTACAGGTGCACACCACCATGCCCAGCTAATTTTGTATTTCTAGTAGAGATGAGGTTTTGCCATGTTGGCCAGGCTGATCTCGAACTCCTGACCTCAGGTGATCCGCCAGCCTCAGCCTCCCAAAATCCTGGGATTACAGGGGTGAGCCACTGTGCCTGGCCTCCGCCCCTTTATTTCTTCATACATGAAGATCACATGGGCTAACTTACAGACCATCCCCATTCTTTGGCCAAATCTTTTACCTAAGCAGGGGAGTGAGGGGTGAGACTCACCTGGCCTGAGGATGAGGCGGCCTTCATCCTGGGCCTGGACAGGGCCTGGGCGCTGGGGAGGCTGTCCTCCTGAGGGTCACCACATTCTCCCAGACTGAGCAGGGCAGTGCCCTCCAAACCCGGGTAGGAGACTGACAATGCTGCGGTGGAGAAAGGTCAGGCTGGCCAGGTGAGACTAATGCCTGCGGCAGAGCTGTGGGCTTCACAGACATTCTGGTCTGCATCTCCCCTCCCTCATCTGAGTTTTCCACAGGGGAAGTGAGGTGAAGTGATTACCCTTGGGTCAGAAAGAATCCAAAGCCTGACTCAACCCACTGAGCATCTGAATACCTTTGCCACCTCGAATGCCCACAAAAACCCTGGGAGGGAGCGATCTGGATTCTCTCTAGACAGGGAGAAAACAGAGGCTGGGAGAGGGCGAGTCGTTTTCCCAAGAACATGCAGCTGTCTGAGCTCCCTGATCATCCTGCAACTCTTCCGGGCTCCCAGGGACCTGCCAGTCCAGGGCTTTCAAACTTCTTAGAGTCAACACACCCTGTCCAAGTCTCTTCAGAGTGTCCATGAACCTGGGCAGCATAATGAGTCCCCATCTTTACAAAAAAAAAAAAAATTTTAAGTAGCCTGGTGCGGTGGTGCACGCCTGTGGACCCAGCTACTGAGGAGGCTGAGGTGGGAAGATCCCTTGAGCCCAGGAGTTGGAGGCTGCAGTGAGCTATGATGGCGCCATTGCACTCCAGCCTTGGCGAGAGTGAGACCCTGTCTCAAACAAAAAGTGGGCTATGAACCCCCTGCATCAGCATCTCACTCTGCAGTGCTTGCTGGAAATACAGATCCCTGGGCCCATCAGAAAGCCTAGGGATGAGCCCTGCAATCTGGCTTTTGTTGTTGTTGTTTTGGGTTTTTGCTTTTGTTGTTTGTTGTTTTGAGACCTTTTGCAACAGGTCTCACTCTGTTGCCCAGGCTGGAGGGCAGTGGTGCAATCATAACTCAATGCAGCCTCCAACTCCCAGGCTCAAGTGATCCTCCCACTTCAGTCTCTAGAGTAGCTGGGACTTACTAGTATGGGCCACTATGCCCTGCTAATGTGTTTTTAATAAAAACGACAACAAAACATTTCCCTGGTAATTCTGACGAGTAGTAAGGTTTGAGAGCCACCTTAAAAAACCTGACAAATGCTCCCAGGATAATGCATATTTATTATTATTTAGCATAATCCTCATATGAGGATTACTGGAGTGAGCTAAGAGCTCAGACTCTCAAGCTAGAAGACCCGTGTTTAAGCCCTGCCTCCAACTACCTGCTAGCTGTACCTCTCTGTGCCTCAGCTTTCTCCCTCTGTAAAATGGGGGTGATAATAGTGCCAGCCTCATAGAGCCCTTGTGGAGATGAAATACATCAAACGCTTAGCACAGGGTGCCCTGCACATGGGAATGCTAGACAGCCAAGTAATTGCTCTCCGCCAGGCCTGGGCTAAGCACTTTCTATCCACTTCATTTCATTTAAGCCTCATGAAGTAAACATTATAAATGCCATTTCACAGCCAATCAAACTACAGAAGGGAGAAATCACTTGCCCAGGGAATACAGTCAGAAAGACAGATAAAGCTAACAGGGTCTGATTCCACAGGCCATAGCCCACTCTTTTTGTTTTTTGTTTGTTCGTTTTTTTGAGATGGAGTCTTGCTCTGTCGCCAGGCTGGAGGGCAGTGGCGCGATCTTGACTCACTGCAACCTCCACCTCCCGAGTTCAGGAGATTCTCCTGCCTCAGCCTTCCGAGTAGCTGGGACTACAGACACAAGCCACCACAGCCAGCTAATTTTTACATTTTTAGTAGAGATGGGTTTCTGCCATGTTGGCCATGTGGGTCTCGAACTCCTGACCTCAGGTGATCCACCCACCTTGGCCTCCCAAAGTGCTGGGATTACAGGCATGAGCCACTACACCCGGCCTACCCATTTAAAAGATGAGGGGCCAGGCACAGTGGCTCATGCCTGTAATCCCAGAACTCTGGGAGGCCGAAGCAGGTGGATCATGAGGTCAGGAGATCAAGATCATCCTGGCTAACATGGTGAAACCCCGTCTCTACTAAAAATACAAAAAAAAAAAATTAGCCAGGTGTGGTGGCATGCACCTGTAGTTCCAGCTACTTGGGAGGCTGAGGCAGGAGAATCACTTGAACCTGGGAGGTGGAGGTTGCAGTGAGCCGAGGTCGCGCCACTGCACTCCAGCCTGAGTAACAGAGCGAGACTCCGTCTCAAAAAAATAAACAAAATAAATAAATAAATAAAAAGATGAGAATGGAAATGTCCTGGGAACCAGGCTTAGCTAGAGATACCCAAGCATTCTCTTCTACCTTGGACACTCACTGCTTCCTTTCATGAGGGCAGGGCCATGGGAAGAAAGCTGGGGACTGGGGAGCAGCATACCTGGCCCTGATGCGCCCCCACCCCATCTTGCTCCTAGCCTGCTCCTGCAACCAGCACGCCCGACGCTGCCGGTTCAACTCTGAGCTGTTCAGGCTGTCGGGCGGCCGGAGTGGGGGTGTTTGTGAGCGGTGCCGCCACCACACAGCCGGGCGGCACTGCCACTACTGCCAACCAGGGTTCTGGAGGGACCCTAGCCAGCCTATGTCCAGCCGCAGGGCCTGCAGGGGTGAGTGTGGCCTGTAGACAGACCTGGGGGGAACAGAGGCGTGGCTAGACTCCTAGGGCTGAGGGAGGCGGGGCTAGGGGCTGGGACTGAGGGAGGAGGGGCTGGGCCTGGACTCCTGGGTCTGAGAGAGCAGGGGCTGGGGGCCTGGACTCCTGGGTCTGAGGGAGAAGGGGCTGGGGACCTGGACTCTGGGCCTGAGGGAGGAGGGGCTGGGGCCTGGACTCCTGGGTCTGAGGGAGGAGGGGCTGGGGACCTGGACTCCTGGATCTGAGGGAGGAGGGGCTGGGGACCTGGACTCCTGGATCTGAGGGAGGAGGCGCTGGGGACCTGGACTCCTGGGACTGAGGGAGGAGGGGCTGGGGCCTGGACTCCTGGGTCTGAGAGAGGAGGGGCTGGGGGCCTGGACTCCTGGGGTTGAGGGAGGAGGGGCTGGGGGCCTGGACTCCTGGGGTTGAGGGAGGAGGGGCTGGGGGCCTGGACTCCTGGGTCTGAGGGAAGAGGGGCTGGGCCTGGACTCCCCAGGCTGAGGGAGGAGACACTGTGGAATTAGGAGGGGCATCTGGGGCCCCGATACCCCATGCCCCCAGCTCCTCTGCTCATGTAGCCTGCCAGTGCCACCCTATCGGGGCAACAGGAGGAACCTGCAACCAGACCAGTGGGCAGTGCACCTGCAAGTTAGGGGTCACAGGCCTGACCTGCAACCGCTGTGGCCCTGGCTACCAGCAGAGCCGCTCCCCCAGGATGCCCTGCCAGCGTGAGTCTTGAGGGGCCAGGGCACAAGCCTGAGTAGAGCGGGAAGGAGACATCCCAGGTCTCCAGTGAGCAGGTGCAGTGAGGGCTGGGGCCTTGGGAATTGAGAGCCCAAGGCTGGAGGCTGGACTCTGGGCCCTCGGATAAGCAGGGACTGAAATTTTGGACTCTTGAGGAAAAGGAGGCTTGGGGCCTGGACGCCTGCGTCCCAGGAGAGGAAGGCAAGGGATGCTTGCACTCTTGAGTCCTAAAGGAATAAACACTTAAGGAGTTTGGGTGCCTGGATTCCCGGGGCAGGGGCGGGGGGATCCTGGGGGAAATTACTAAGAGGTTAATTTCTCCTTTGGTCTCACAGGAATTCCAGAAGCAACAACCACCCTTGCCACTACTCCTGGTGCTTATAGCTCTGGTAAGACAGTCTGGCATGGAGGTCCCTGAGTGGCAAGTGGGACTGGGGATGGGCTGACTGGGTCCCCAGATGGGGATACATGGGTCACCCATTGAGCCCAGTCCCAAAGGTCTGGGTGCCCCAGCTGGCCATCAAGATGGAATGGAGGGATGGGCAGGGGCAGAAGGCTGTGGTCTAAGCCCCAGGAGCCCACTGCAGACAGCCTGACCCTCCCCAGACCCTCAGTGTCAAAACTACTGCAATATGTCGGACACCAGGGTATATATGAGCCTTCGGAGGTACTGCCAGCAGGACTATGGTGAGTACTGGGGAGACAGGATAGCTGAAGGCTACACAACTGGTTCTGATGACTGCTTCTAAGCCACCCCCTTTCTGGCCTTCCACTTTCTCATTTTAAATGGCAAGGAGCGTTGGATTCCAAAGGGCCCCTTCCTGACCTAGAAATTGATGGGGCAGAAGACAAATGGGGAGGGGGAGTGGGGAGGGGGAGTGGGGAGGGGGCATTCACTACCTTCCTGTGTCTCCTCTTTCACTATGTTCTTGGGCTTGCAGAGTTTCATCATCCCCTTCAGCCTGACATCTCTGAGGGATGGAAGAGATAGGGGAACTGGTTGAGTGGAATGAGCTCTTGCCCTGTCCACCCTATCTCAGAGACCCTTGCTGCTTCCCTTCATGGTCCCAGATATTTGAGCCTTAGTCCCAATCCCTATAAAGACTTATCTCACAGTTCCCTAATCCCCAGTCCACATGGGCTCCATGACCCTGGGGTCTATGACCTCAGGCTATTCAGCTCTCTTAAGACACTCAGGAGTTCGGCCCAGCCAACAAATCTAGACCAACGCCAGCTATTTCTCTCAATGTATAGGACCGCAGACTTCTTCTCCCTCAGGATCCTCATCTGGTCACTAGTGTTCTAGGCCTTCAAAGGTGGAAAGCTTTTCCCCACCTTCCGCAGGGATCTCCTGCCCCGCAGACCCAGCTGGCTAGTCAGAGTTCCACCCAGCCTCTCAGAAAGCACATGTCTCTGGCCAGGCACGGTGGCTCACGCCAATAATCCCAGCACTTTATGGGGGCCGAGATGGGCGGATCACTTGAGGTCAGAAGTTCGAGACCAGACTGGCCAACATGGTGAAACTCCGTCTCCACTAAAAATACAAAAGGGCGCGGTGCCAGGATCCTGTAAACCCAGCTACTCAGGAAGCTGAGGCACAAGAATCACTTTAACCCAGGAGGCGGAGGCTGCAGTTAGTTGAGATCACACAACTGCACTCCCGACTGGGCGATACAGTAAGATTCCGTCTCAAAAAAAAAAAAAAATTATGTTTTTCTGAATCACTATCAGTATGACCTCAGCCCTCACATTCCAAGGACCAATCTCTTCCTTCTGGTCCTCCAAATGTATCCCAGAGCCCCTTCCCAGTAATGTGACCCCTCCTTCCCAAGAATTCCACAATTGATACCTTCTGACCCCACTGTATTAGAGACCCTGGACCTGCGTCTTCTGCCCTGTCCCCAGCACCACCTACTGTAGTTTAACTCCTTGTCTCAAAGGTGTTTCCTCCAGCGGGCCCCACCCCTCACGATTTAGGGTCAAACTCTCAAAAGTTCAAGGTTTCTCTCCCCACTGCAATACCAGAAGCTCACCCACCGATCTCGGGCTTCTGCCCACTGTGACTGACCCCACGGGACCCAGAGGTACCCTGGAAGCTCCCCATGACCTGAGCTGACATCTCCCCTCCCCACAGTTCTTCGGGCGCAGGTGCTAGCGTCTGAGGCGGCAGGCCCGGCATGGCGGCGGCTGGCCGTGCGCGTGCAGGCCGTCTACAAGCAGCGGGCGCAGTTCGTGCGACGCGGCGACCAGGACGCCTGGGTGCCCCGCGCCGACCTGGCCTGCGGCTGCCTGCGCCTACAACCGGGCACCGACTACCTGCTGCTGGGCAGCGTGGTCGGCGGCCCCGACCCCACGCGCCTCATCCTAGACCGCCACGGCCTCGCGCTGCCATGGAGGCCGCGCTGGGCCCGGCCCCTGAGGCGGCTGCAGCAGGAGGAGCGCGCCGGGGGCTGCCGCGGCGTGCGGGCACCCACATCCAGCCCCAGGCCGGAGCATTAGATGTGGGCTGCGGCTGCCTCCAATGCCAACAAAGAAATTTGGGACCGACTGAGAGCTGAGCCTTATACCTTAACGGTGCGCCGTAGAGAGCCAATGAGACGTCGCAGAGCCCCGACGTCACTATGCATGCGCCCACGCCACGCAGGCGTGCGGAACTTTTAGCAAAAGGCGGCAAAGAGGACTACTGGTTCCAACTGTTCCTCCTTTGGCTTGTGGCTTATTCCCCGCCAGTGATCTATTTCCCCCAATAAAGTCTCAAATCTTGGGGAATTTTTGTCTACAGACTCCTGATCGATGCTGGCACCGTCTCCACAGGGAAGCGAACAAGGCCTTGACTCAGTACGCGGAGCTGAAGTTAGGACCACAGCACCACAGCACCCTGACAAAGTGGCCAATCCAATGAGAGAGCTCTTATGACGTCATTGGGTGCTAGTCAGATTGGTGTTGACTGATGATAGGCCAAAGGCCAATGGGCGGGGCTTGTTTGGAAAAGGTGGTAAATCTCACAAAGGGAAGGACAGCAGTTGCAGATTTCTAGAAAATTCCAGATGTAGAAACTTTTGGTTTCTGATTGGCCTCAGGATAGGCTCTGAGACAGGAATTAAGAGACTTTGAGTGACTCATTTTTGAGAGAATAACCAATCGGAAGCCACAGAGTGGTATGACATAACTTGGTGCTAAGGGGAATTGTATTCCCACCCAACAATTGGCTACCTGCAGGCCAGAGGGGAGTGGCTCAAAAGGCAGGAAGCGGTAAGTACCACGGAATGGAAGGTTGCCACGGCCTGGGACCTTCCTTGCCACCCTGACCTCTGCCCCTGCACCCACAGCAAACAACATAATCTCAAATTTGGGTGATCTTTTCAGGAGAGTCATTGAGCGGGTACTCAGGGAGTCTTAGAGGAAGAGATGTGATTTAAGGTCCATTTGTTTGTTTCTCTTTTTTAAAAAATGTATTTTATTTATAGTTATATTTACTTATTTATTTTTTTGAGATGGAGTTTTGCCCTTGTTACCCAGGCTGGAGTGCAATGGCATGATCTCAGCTCACTGCAACCTCCACCTCCCTAGTTCAAGCAATTCTCCTGCCTCAGCCACCCAAATAGCTGGGACTACAGGTGCACGCCACCACACCTGGCTAATTTTGTATTTTTAGTAGAGATGGGGTTTCACCACATTGCCCAGGCTGGTCTTGAACTCCTGACCTCAGGTGATCTGCCCACCTAGGCCTCCCAAAGTGCTGGGATTACAGGCATAAGCCACCGTGCCCAGTCAAAAATTTTTATTTTATTTTATTTTAATTATTTAGTTTTTTGGGACTGGGTCTCACTCTGTTGCCCAGGCTGGAGTGCGGTGGCTCTATGGTAGTTCACTGCAGCCTTGACCTACTAGGCTCAAGCAATCCTCCCACTTCAGCCTCCCAAGTAGCCAGGACCACAGGCACAGGCCACCATGCCTGGCTAATTTTGTTGTTGTTGGTAGAGACGAGGTCTTGCTATGTTGCCCAGGCTGGTTTCGAACTCCTGGGCTCGAGTGATCCTTCCACATTGGCCTGCCAAAGTACTGGGTTTATAGGCATGAGTCACCATGCTGGCCTAAGGTCCATTTGGACCTGGAAAATAGTGGCCAATACAAAAAGCACACTCCTATGATGTAACTGGGTGCTAGTCAGATTTGTGTTGCCTAATAATTTCCTTCCCTGAGAGAAAGGTGGGGCTCTCAGCCAATGGGGGGTCAGGATATGCCATGATGTCACAGGATACTAGGCAGGAAGAAAGGTACCTTCCAGCAAACGTTCTGGGTTTGCTCTTGGTTAGATGGAAAAAGGCAAGAAATTGCCTCCAGGGAGACTATTTGACACCCATGCCACCAATAAAATGTTACATAATCTGGGGGAACCTCCCCTTAGCCTCCAGATGAACTCAGGGTGGGGGCATCTCTGAAGCAGGAGTCTTTTAAGAGATTTTCTGTTCTTTTTTTTGTAGAGATGGGGTCTCGCTATGATACCCAGGCTGGTCTCAACCCCCTGAGCTCAAGCAATCCTCCTGCCTCAGCCTCCCAAAGTGTTGGAATTACAGGCGTGAGCAACCGCGACAAGTCTTAAGGGATTTTCTTTTCTTTTCTTTCTTTCTTTCTTTCTTTCTTTCTTTCTTTCTTTCTTTCTTTCTTTCTTTCTTTCTTTCTTTTTTTTTTTTTTTTTTTTTCTGAGATGGAGTCTCACTGTGTCACCTAGGCTGGAGTGCAGTGGAGCGATCTTGGCTCACTGCAACCTCTGCCTCCTGGGTTCAAGCGATTCTCCTGACTCACAGTCTCCTGAGTAGCTGGGATCACAGCACGCGCCACCATACTTGGCTAATTTTTGTATTTTTAGTAGAGATGGGGTTTTCCCATGTTGGCCAGGCTGGTCTCGAACTCCTGACCTCAGGTGATCCACCCGCCTCAGCCTCCGAAATTGCTGGGATTATAGGCGTGAGCCACCGTGCCTGGCCAAGGGATTTTCTAAGAATGGTCCTCTGTTCCAGAAAAACTAAATTCCTTATCTTTGTTATTTTCATCCTCTTTTGAAGCCAATTCAGTTAGGCATTCACTGCCCCCACACTCCACCTTCACATCCAATCCATGAGCAAATCCTGTCCACATCTACAAAATATCTCCCATAATTCAACTATTTTTACCACCTCTATTGCTACCACCTTCATCCAAGCCACCATCACTGCTTGTCCGGATTATTACAATAGTGCCCACACTGAGCTCACCACTACCCCCCGAAAGTCTTCTTCACATGGAAGCTAGGATGATCACTTTAAAACATGTCAGGACAGACATGGTGGTTCATGCCTGTAATCCCAGCCCTTTGGGAGGCTGAGATGGGAATCACTTGAAACCAGGAGTTCAAGAACAGGAAACTTGGCAACATAGCAAAACCCCATCTCTACAAAAAAAAAAAAAAAAAAGATAGTTGGGCATGGTGGTGCACACCTGTAGTCCCAGCTACTTGGGAGGCTGAGGCAGAGGATTGCTTGAGTCCAGGAGTCGGAGACTGCAGTGAGCTAAGATCGTAGTACTGCACTCCAGCCTGGGCAACAGAATGAGACCCCATTGCTAAAAATAAACTTTTTTTTTTCTTCTGCGTTTTTTAATGCAGAAAAAAAATAAAAAATAAAAAAAAATAAACTCTTGAATGGTTTCCCATTACTCTCAAAATAAAACCCAAAGTCCCTGCCCTTCTCTACAAAGCCTTGCATAATCTACTTCCACCACATGACCGATCTCACCTCTTATAAGTCTTCCTCATTCACACCACTGCAGCCACACTGGTCTTCTTCCTGTTCCTTTAAAAACCAAGCACACTTGCCAGGCGCGGTGGCTCATGCCTGTAATCCCAGCACTTGGGAGGCCGAGGCAGGTGGATCATGAGGTCAGGAGATTGAGACCATCCTGGCTAACACGGTGAAACCCCGTCTCTACTAAAAATACAAAAAATTAGCCGGGCATGGTGGCGGACGTGTGTAGTCCCAGCTACTCCAGAGGCTGAGGCAGGAGAATGGTGTGAACCCGGGAGGTGGGGCTTGCAGTGAGCCAAGATCATGCCACTGCACTCCAGTCTGGGCAACAGAGCAAGACTCAATCTTAAAAAAAAAAAAAAAAAAAAAGCACACTCTGCCCCAGGGCCTTTGCACTTGCTGTTCTCTCATCCTGGAACACACCTTTTCATGTAATGGCAAGCCAGTTTCCCTACTTCATCGAGACCTTCCATTAGGCAGGTCAGGCTAGCTCTGTTGGCTCCACAGAGTTTATTTAGTTCTGGCTGGGCGTGGTGGCTCACGCCTATAATCTCAGCACTTTAGGAGGCCGAGGCTGGCGATCACTTGAGCCCAGGTCTAGACCGGTGTGGGCACCGTGGTGATACCCCATCTCTACAAAAAATACAAAAATTAGCCAGGCATCGTGGTGTGTGCCTGCCTGTAGTCCTCATACTTGGGAGGCTGAGGCAGGAGGATTGTTTGAGTCCAGGAGGTCCAGCCTACAGTGAACTATGATTGGGCCACGATACTCCAGCCTGGAGCAAGACCCTGTCTCAAAAAAAAAAAAAAAAGTAAAAAGTAAAAGAAAACACAAAGTTTCTTTCTTGCTCACATACATGTTCCATGCAAGTTGGCAAAGGCTGGTTTTCCACACAGTCAAGGACCCAGGCTGAGAGATGTACACCATCTTGTAGCACCAGCCGTAACCCAGGGCATCCTTGATCACTGAGGCAATGCAAGAGGAAAAGCATTGAATGGTCTCATGCAAGCAAAACAGCTTTGGCCCAGCCCTTCCAATCACAGCTCATTCATTGGGATTACTCATGTGGTCCCACTCAATTGTATAAAGGTGGGGACGTAGAATTCCCTCCCGTGCCCAGTTACAGAGAAGAACTGTCGAATTCCTTTCCTGTTACTGCCATAACAAATTACCATAAACTCAGCAGCTGAAACAACACAAATTTATCATCTTACAGCTCTACAGATCAAAAGCCCCACATGGGTTTCACTGGGCTGAAATCAAGGTGCTAACGACGCTGCATTCCATCTGGAGCCTCTAAGAGAGAATCTGTTTCCTTTCTATTCCCAGTTTCTAGAGGCCACCCACATTCCCTGATTCATGACCTCTTTTTCCATCTTCACAGCCAACCACGACAAGTTGAGTCCCTTTCACACTTCAAATTTTTCCTGCCTCTTCTATCCTCCCATCTCTTTCTGACCATGGCTGGGAAAGGTATTCTGCTTTTAAGGACTCCTGTAATTAGACGAAGGCCGCCCAGTCTACCACCATACCACCTGAATGCACCGATCTTGTCTGATCTCAGAAGCTAGGCAGAGTCAGGCCCTGTTAGTTCTTGGATGATGAACTAAGCCCCATCTTGGAGATGGGGCCACCCAGATAATCCAGAATAATATCTCCCCATCTCGGCTGGGCGCGGTAGCTCACGCCTGTAATCCCAGCACTTTGGGAGGCCGAGGCTGGCTGATCACAAGGTCAGGAGATCGAGACCATCCTGGCTAACACGGTGAAACCCCGTCTCTACTAAAAATACAAAAAATTAGCCGGGCGCGGTGGCAGGCGCCTGTAGTCCCAGCTACTCAGGAGGCTGAGGCAGGAGAATGGCATGAACCTGGGAGGCGGAGCTTTCAGTGAGCCGAAATTGCGCCACTGCACTCCAGCCTGGGGCACAGAGCGAGACTCTGTCTCAAAAAAAAAAAAAAAAAAAATCTCCCCATCTCAAAGTC